TACTGCTACTGCTACTGCTGCTGCCGTGATAGTGTTATAAGTTATAAGTGCCAGCACTAGTAGCAGCAGCACAAAACACCTGGTCGTCGTCCTCCTCATAAGGAGTATGTAGCTTCAACCGCACCTTCACTTGAAGCATGCATAACGTAATTCCCGGCATTGCTCCCTCTATTAAACCTTTGAGGGGCGTACTGTGATTTAGTGGGTTTGACTAGACGTGGTGACGTGATTTCGGAGGCAAAACTTCGAGGATCCGGAGGCTTAGTAAACATGTATCGAGAGCGAATTCACTGCTGGATGTTTTCAGTCACAAGGTCGGCAAAGTAGGGGCTCACCTTGTTATAGGAACTGACGCTCACCTCTTACATAATGACAGCCACCTTCTTTCCAGCCTGGTCCGTGCCTTGTGTGATGCGCTCCGCGCAGGTGGAGCAGAAGGCATGATGCCTGCCCAAGCCCAAACAATGCTTTCTGTACGAAGCGAACTATACACGCCGCACCTGTTGTAGCGTAGGTTGAAATGAGGCAAACCCCCTGGCCCCTGAAACGCAGTGCGTAAAAGGTACCGTAGGATTCCAGCACTTTGCTGACTCAAGAACTCTGCGCTCAAGCAACTCCATACAAATGCTTTGCCCTAACCAAGCTCCCCAAGGTAAACAGGCACCTCTACAGGAACCAGAAGGGAAATNNAAAGTTTCCCAAAGTGCCACCTAGTCCCAGTCTAAAGCAAAGTCTCAGATAGTCTCAGGAGATGCCAGCTCAAGGACAAAGGCATGCCAAGCATGCATCGATATTGGGCCTGTTGATCTTGTATGATCACTGCAACGTTTTTCGGAAATGAGCGGCGAGGCCAAAACTCTGAACCCGAAAACTCTAAACCTATTACTCCTGCTACTACTTCTTACTACTCCTACTACTACTACTACTACCGCTTCCGCGTGGCAGTTCCAAGGGTCTACATGGCGGGTATTCCGTCATGTCACAGATTCGCGTACTCATCCCAATGGAAAAAACTCGCGTACTCATGCCAATGGAAAAAACTCAAGGAAAGGGACGAGCCTCGAGTAATATTTATATTCAGAGTTCAGAAATACCACGACTGTTTCTATTACTCTTGCTATAAGTGTGAATATTCCCATTGCTACTACCATTGCAATTGCTATTGCTATGGCTATTGCTAT